ACTACAGTACAGAGAGTGAAAAATACACTACAGTGCTTACAGTGCAGTGCACACTACAGTACAGAGAGTGAAACGTACACTACAGTGCAGCATGCAGCGTACACTACAGTGCACACAGTGCAATGTATATACTGTTGATACTGCAGGCCCTCCTCATATCTAAGAGGGCATCGGTATTTTGGTTTCAGGTGCTCCCTCGAACAGGGTTTCTCGAGTATTATAAGCTCCAGTCGTGATAAAGCGCATGCCAGGGGGATCTTCAGCCCCCTGTGTCGTCTCAGCTACTGGACCAGCAGCAACAAACACACGCCAGACACTTGTCATCACGAGCACGTGGCTCATCTAGCGCAAGAGCAACCCCTCCTGCCACATCAAAGCCTGTCTCAAAGCTCACAGCAGCTGGGGCCCTGGGTTCAAACCCAGACCTGGGGTGCTGTCTGGGTGGAGTTTGCACGTTCTCCCCCGGGGTTCATGTGGGTTTCCTCCAGGTGCTCTGGTTTCCCGCCCACAGTCCAAAGACATGCTGGGGGGTTCACTGGCGTCTGCTTTAATTGGCCCTGGTGCGAGTGTGTGCGTGCCCCCGTGATGGACTGGTGTCCTGTCCAGGGTGTACCCCACCTTGGGCCCGTTGCTTGCTGGGATAGGCTCCAAAGGGGGGGGGGGGGTGCCTTAATTGCGATCGCGACCTAGCTGCGAGGAAAACACACGTTTCAACCGCGAAAGCAGATCCCCTCAGGAAAAGCGCCGCTCCGGAACCGGATGCAGAGGTTCAAGGAAGGGATGGAAAGGGGAGGGGAGGGGAGGGGGACGACCCGGCCGGCGATCGGGGCTGCGGGAGAGGCAGGAGGGGGGGACTGAGACACGGGGCGCAGGGGGACGGAGGAGACAGACTGCCTGACTCTCCCTCTCTCTCTCTCTTGCTCTCTCTCCGTGCCCGTAGGCGAGCAGAGCATTCCAGGAGAGGCAGGGGCATTCCCAGGGATGAAGGGGAGCATTGTTGTCCTGGGACGGCACAGCACAGCGCAGCAGAGCAGGGAGTGGCAGCTGACGGGGAGAGGGGGGGGTTCACGAGAGCTCGACAGGGCGATGTGCCTCGCACAAGCACCGCAGTTACGCGCGTGGGAGAGTGAGAGTCCCCGGCCCAACGTTGCCCGAGAGCGAGGGCTCACCCACCCAAGCAGCCCGGGGTGCCCGTCTGTGTGGAGTCTGTGTGGTTCACAAGAGCTCACCAGGGCGATGTGCCTCGCACAAGCACCACAGTTATGCGCGTGGGAGAGTGAGAGTCCCAGCCCCACGTTGTCCAAGAGCGAGGGCTCACCCACCCAAGCCGCTGGGCAGCCCGGGGTGCCCGTCTGTGTGGAGTCTGCGTGGTTCTCTGAATCTCCGCCGTGCAGGGGGGGGGGCTGGCTATTCTTGTCTGGGGGGGGGGGTGATCACACCCCACCAGTGAGCTCAAACGGGTTCAGTAACACGGCGATCTTGCTGGGGGGGGGCCCATCAGTGTGCTCAAAAGGGTTCAATGACACAGCGATCTTGCTGGGAACCAAAACCCCCCCACCAACACCTCCACCTCCCCTGTACCTGCCCCGATCCTCCGACAACTCAGCCACAGTCGATCCAAGGTCAGAATCTTCCCACGAGGGAACGAGGTCGTTTTGTTTAAGGACATGTTCCGGGGGGGGGCTGCTTCAATCAAGCTCGAGACCCCCGTGGTGCCAAGACAGCAGCAGACGACCAGAGACAGTGCCACAGACAGACAGTGGCACTCAAGCCAACAATAAAAAAAAAAAA